TTTTCCTTTTTTTTTTGTGTCCCACGCTAATCTGCAAGTGTCAGCGAGCTGGCATGAGAGCAATCCACACAACTGCCAGGGAGGTAAAGTGGCAAATGCGATGTGTGTGTGTCTTTGGGGGATTTGGCGGGCCTTGATATTTTCGGCGGTCGTGTAAAAGGGCCTGTCAACAAAAATGCTCAAGAAAGGCAATGCTTTGCTCGAAGCAATTAGATGTTATCTGAGAATGTATTAGAGCTCTCCAGCTTCACAATGAGCCCTGCAGCCTGCGCGAATGCACCGCCCTGTTTAAAACTGCAGCAAACACACTGCGACAATGCACGTTTACACCGGCATCCCCTTTCAACATTTGAGTTCTGCATATTAATGGAAAAGTGAGTCAAAAAAAAAAAAAAAAATCCTTGACTTTTGGAGTTGTATTTCTATTTACAATGTCATTTTTACAATACAATGGCCTATACATAGTCTCTTTAAATTACACAATATGAAAGATAACTTCTCAGTTTGCTTACATGCCGTAAGTACAGCTGGTACTCTGGCTTTTTCTATGACCAAGCATCCACATTTCCTGGTCATTTTTAACTCACTTTACTCTCCACTGGCCTCAGTACCAAGCTGTAAAGCATAATAGATTTATATTTTTAAAAAAAAAGGTCCTGAAAAGAAATCGTGCTTCTGCGCCATCAGCAAAGTTTCGTCCGACCCCCCTGGCACTTCAGCATCGCATCTTCCAAATGCTCAAGAGCCACCCGTGTCACCCCTGCCCCATATTCCTTAACACGGCAGTATCGGGGGAGCCCCTGCTGAAGCGCGATCCTTCATGTGGACAACGCGTGGGCAGGAAACACTTGCAACAGGTGCCGCCCGATCCTCAGCCCTTTGTGCCGGAGCACGAGTGGGAGTGGGAGAGGCCGCAGGGGTCGCGCTGACCCAAGAACAGGGCGCACCATGCCTACTGTCTGACTGGAGAGTCAGACGTCAAAACAAGGATCGCACTAAATTATTCGCCACCATTTTTCTTCCCTGACACTTTTAGGGAGTACAGAACTAATGAATGGATTGATGTTGGAACAACTGTCATGTCTGTAGTGGTCATAACGGTTAATATAAAACCGTAATCTTTAGATGTTTCTTTTTTCTTATGACTACCAGCCAAGCTTTTAGTTTTCAAACTGGTAAATTGAAAACTCAAGCACCAAACTTTTCCATCATGCTGCGCGTCTTAACTTTAGTATATGAAAGATTAAAATAATAAAAAAATAATAATGATAATAAATCTCATTCCCTTTAATTTTAAACTAGTAGTGGTTTTAAAAATGCATCAAATCATAACTATTATTATTATTGTTATTACTACTACTACTACTACCGCCACCACCCACTCCCTTAAAAAGAGAAAGGAAGAAGGAAATGTAGGTGGAAAAATAAAACTATGGCTTGTTTCCACCTTTCAACTGAGCTGGCGGCTTTAAAAAATGACTAACTTTTGTTGATGTATGAATCGGCGGGGAGTCTATTTATCAGCAGGCCCTCTGCGGTCGCCCGCTTGGGTCCCTCAAGTCACAAGCCGCGTCGCTCCCCTTTGACTGATTAATTAGCCAATCAGAGGACATTTTTCACTGGGCGGCAGAATGGTTTATTTCAGCTAATGCCGGGGTTTCGAGTTGAGGCCCGTTGGAGCCTCGTTGGCTCTTTCGGCCTGCCTGAGTGGCTGGGCAGAGGGGCAAGGGAGATAAATCAAGCTGGGCTGGCCCTCCATGTGGCTCCCCTAACTAAACCCCCAGAGGAGGGCACAGAGAGCAGGGGTGGTGGAGAAGGAGGGGGGAGGAAGGAGAGCGGGACGCAAGACGGCCAGGGGCACTGCTTGCCTGCCGATAAGAACGGGGAGCAGGGCGCTGCCAAAGTGCCTTCATTTAAAAGTGGCCGGGGCTTTTTTGATATCTCGGCAGAGAGCGCCTGTCATTTGTCATGCGGTGAGTAATTGTACCGAGGGGCACAAGGAGGAGGCAGGAGATGGAGGCGGGTTGCTAGCGTGGGATGGGTGATGGATAACCGAGAGGTAAGTAGATAGACAGGTGCTACGCCGCAACCCTCACAGTAAGGCAGAGTAAATAAGGTTGTTTTGTTTTTTTTAAGCACATATTTTCATGTGGCTACATAAAAACTGGTTATGGATGACATGAGAGATTCTCTAAGAACACGATCTTAGGAAATACTCTTGCACGAGTAAAATTAAGTTACAATCATGCTCAACTACATGTTTGTACATGCAATTAAAAGAAAAAAAAATTAAACAGTGCTTCTAATCCCTGCTCTATCATACACTGTAAGAAAGGAGGGAGGAATGTGCATTTCACTATGATATCCCATCTGTCAGCATACTTAATCACAGATAATCACTTGTCAGTTAATTAAAGTTGACACAAAAATGCTTGTTTAATCACGGTCTGATCAAATATCTGCTGAACTATGCCAGGAAACAGGGTCAGTATGAGTTTCCTTTAAGCTTTCATGTGCATTTCTCATTTTTTTAAATATCAAAAATAACAGTAAAAAAAATTGCAAAAGAAAAAAAAAAAAAAAAAACACACATGCAGATTTTTCATTATGTACAGCTTTAAAATAAATACATTCTTAACCTGGAAGATAAATTTTTACCTTAAACAGAGCTCTACCCTCTGAACAAGATATTTACATTTAATATTAACACTAAAGGAACAGAGCTGCTGCTCCCTGTAAATAACCAATTAAAATATTCTCATATACTGTTTCCAATACATTCTCATCTTTGATGAATAGAGGCATCTGGGACAGCTGAATGTGTACACACTGTGTGTGTGTGTGTGTCTGCGTGTTTGTGCATGTGCGCATGCGCTTGTCTGCACTTCAGGGAGGGTTGTGAGCCGCGATAAGAGGTGAGCAGGAAGCACATCACTGCAAAGGAAGGAAAACACCAGCAGTGAGGAACTGGTGGAAAGGAGGCCGGAGAGACAGCAGTGGGTGTGATTGTGCTGGAAGATTCATGAGGGGGAAGGAGGGCAGGTCTGGAGAAGCCGATCCAGATTTGGTCAAAGTCTCTTGGCCTCACCTTGTCACGATGCAGATATGTGATATAATGCGACCGGTGGCAGTGGCTTCTGCAAGCCACTACAAATCAACTACACCATCAAGCCAAAGCTCGTCGCTACTAAGGGTTACAACTCCATGGGGCATTGAGATTACTGCAAGCATATATTATACTTTTGCAGCAACAGCAGTTAAATGTAAGCACAGATCAGTGTGAGCTGAGGGTCACTGGCAGCGTCGCCTTCACTCTCGCAGGAGATTCGGCAAAATGCCTAGAGCTCGATTGGTCCATCACCCTCTTTGCCTCTTTTCCAGCAACCTCAGATGTTGCTGGGTTTCAACACAAGGCCTCATGGGAAAGCATTGTAATTGTGTTGAGTGTTTTCGATATGGTCAATGGTGTCCCTCCTGGCTGTAAAATAACAACCCATAACCAAACGTTTAGAGAGGGAAAAAATATGGTGTGTATTGCTTGCATTTCCAGTGTTAATCAGCTGGGGAGCAGCTGCCATTGTGATGTTATGGCTCAGCACCTGCTGGGGGAATAGGGCAGGGTGGATTTTGTACAATTTATGGATATTTAAGATGCCAATTTCTTCAAGCCAAATGCTCGAGATAAACACAAGAAGCCAGCAAGAGGCTTTTTCTGGGCCTTGGAGTCCAAAAGCTAGATATGTTATTGTTCTTCTGGCCCTCTACTGGGCCAGTAAAAGTTCTAAGAACAACAAAAAAAAGTTTTTATTGCACATTTTTAAATGTGTTATTTTTTTCATAATAAAATAATAAAAAGTACAAGTTATGTGGGTGCTTAATAATTTCCAGTTCTTCTGTGCATGTAAATCTGTTCTATTAATCAGCTTAGATCATTTTTAATAGCATCTTTTATGTACATGTATTTTTAACTATATAATTCACTCATCTGTCTTTCATTTCAATAAATGACATCTTTGATGTGAGTTTGAATAAGTACGGCTTCATATACCTCCACAGATAAACACTTGAGCTGATTTTCTGATTAAAACAGCTTGACAACTTATTTAAAAATAAATAGAAAGATGATGCAGGCAAATTTCATAAATAACATTTTGTTTTTGATATGTAAGCTAAAGGTTCTTACTGGATTCGAAATACAACTCTGACCCGCAGGAGCCTGTAAACCATGTTCCAAAAGCATGAGACCTACCATAACGCCAAATGGCAAAGTGACGTTTGAAGTGATGGGCCCACCAATGCCAAGAGCAAAAAAGAAACTTTTTTTTGCAAGCGTCATCATTTCAGATTTCTGCACACCTCACTGCAATTTTGATGTTCCTTTAATAATGCCCGCTGGCACTCTTAACTAGCTGATGTGACGCTTCGAGACAGAAGTACAGCAAAGCAGGAGTGCGAGGGAGAGGAGTAGGGGGTAAGAGTGCAAATCCCTTAACTGGATTTAGGCGCTCTTGCTGCCATCGGTGGCCTGTTAGAGGTGTTAAAGCTGCATGCTGTGACACGGCTAATCTAGGGCCACGGGCTGCTCAAGGAGCCGTACCCCGCAGAAGCAGAAGGACCAGATGATACCAGAGTTACCGATGGAAGGAAGAATCAGCAACCAATAATCATTTGGAATTACCAAGGAGACACAGATAAGTGCAAGCCAGCTGGGCCAGTGGTGCGGCATCTCCTGCTGGACTGCACGCTTGACTTTGACGGGGTTAAGGAAGATCAGAGTCCTGTGCCCTTGCACTAATATTTTAGGAACGCACCCACTGGATTAGAATTACTATCTACAAAGCTTTTGTGCAAAGCCAAAGGACAGTTTGTTTTTAACTTGTTAAACTAAGTGGATTTGATTAATAAAAATAAAAAAGAATGTTTTTATAAATTATAATATTGAAGTCTCAAAACAACTTTTTTTCTAATTCTGAATGATGTAAATAGGTGTAATCTCTTACCTGATCTTGGACTTTTGCTGATTTAGCCCTCTTCCCAAAGATACAGTTAAGATCTGTTTCACTACGACTGGATAGATCCTTTCCTGAAAGAGTAATAAGCAGAAAAGAATATGTACAAATCATTAACACCAGGCTGGAAAACTTATGTGCTGCGACTCGGAATAAAAAGACCACCTTATGAATTAAAAGGTGATAAAAATTGATTCACAGTCCCATTTTCAACAACATGCACGCTTTTTTTTTCTTAAAGAACATTGTTTATTGTTTCTCTTTTTTCCAGGCAAACCTTTAAATATTGCAGCTGAGTACCTTTGTGTGTGTTTGTGTGTTGGGGGTGAGCAGAAGGTGGTCACTGAGTAAATAAAAGAAACAGGGTAGGGGTGGTGGGGGGCTGTATTCTTTTTGCAGGGATAAAACGGTAAAGAAAAATAAACTAGACGAAAAGGTCTGCTACGCCACGCCTCCGGATTCCCCTTTTCAAGCGGGTCCTCAAAGACTCCTGAAGCACACAGTGGCTTGTCTCAAGCCTGGGTCCTGTTCATGCAGCTGCATCCTCTTCCTTCAGCGGGGCTCTGATAACATTCGGTTATTTATTGCTTTTAAACCTCTATCTCCCCTGCCCTTGGCTTTGAAAGTCCCTGCACATACAAGGTCTAAGCAGCAAAACCAAGAAAGTCCGATGAAAAGTAAAATAAATGGAAAGGACGGTGGGGGTGGGTGGGGTGGGGGGGGTGTTTGCTGTGGTGGTTGTCATCTAGTGAACTCCGGTCAGACAAAAATTATATCCAATTTGACCCTTCTACTGTTTGGATGAGGAAGTGCCTGTCAGAATTGTCAGGCTTTCAGGTGAAAGTGCAAATAACAACGTTCTGATTAAAAAAAGAAAAATCCTAGTTTTTCCCACTATGCGTTTAAAGTTGGATGAATACACTTAAATGGGATGAAGCGTGGGTACTGCCCACATGCAGTGGAAAAGGTTTGCGGTTTCCAAGGTCACAGATGAAACGACAATTATCAGTAGAGACTTACAGAAGCTCCAGTGAACAGAAAACACTGTCAGTGAAATTAGAACAGGAGGTCCTCAGCATATATACATGCAATTCACACGGTCTGTTAGGCTCCATCAATTCACTTTGGCCGTGATGCAAAAACATGTTTAATTAAAAGCCCAAAAGCTGGAACGAAGCCAACACAGAGTAGCCGATGGAGAGCTGTAGTTAAATTCCGCATCAACCACCCTTGCTGCCCTGACAGGTGATAGATGGAGGTAGCAATTAAAACTGGGTTACTGGTTTATGCTGTGGGCCCTGGACCTAAGCAGTGGAGATTTTGGTGCCTTTCCCCACAAACAAAGGCCATCAATCCTCAGCGCTGGCAGAGAGAGAGCCAGCATGAACAGGATATCAATATTTTTAAAAAAAAAAAAAAGGAAAAAAAGAAAGGGAGAGTCGGGAGGAGACCTGCACTAAAAGGGAGAGGTACTGATGATGCTGTGGCCACAATGTTTTTACAGCAGTACTGCAGGAATGCACTGAGCTCAGTGACTGGTTATAGACCAAGCCAAGCCAATTCTCAAGAATGGGGCAATTCGGCAGAAGTGAGAGGGGAAGACCCGGGAAGAATTTTAAGTTAAACTTGCTTTTGAATCAAAATGTGAGTACAAAAAAAGTTAAGCAGTACAAACTGAGAGCCAAAAAGAAAACATAGATGATTGAAATAATGATCATAATGGAAAAATGTTTAATTATGGCTAACAAGCATTAGATAAGAGTACGGATAAACTATTAGATCCGTTTGTTGGAAAGTGCAGATAAGCTGTTATAATAGTTATAAGTAACTGAATCTTTATCTAGGAGTTTTTTCAAAGGCATAATCAATTAGTGACTAAATGGAATCAATAGCTGTTAAATGGAGTGCACCAGTGTTTTGAAATGGTGGGCCAATAGTTGCAGATAAATGGTTTAAACCAAGGATGTCCAACAGAGGGGCTGCCCCTCTGTTGGTCTTCCGTGGTCTCTTGTGTTCTGGGGGCCTCTGGATGTCTGGAGTTTTGATCTCCTCCATACCCGCTTCACACCCTGGAGGACGGGGCTGTGGCCCCCCCACACTCCCTAGCAGATCATTACATGGAGAAACCTTTGGAATGCAAGCATGCTGATCCACACAGGTATGCACACAGGTGTACACATGGGTATTCACAGACGCGGACTAAAGCTTTCTTGGCTGCTGCCTCAAAGCACACTGTGCGCTGTCTATCTTGCGTGCTGCACAATATCGTTTATTATTCAGTAACTATTGATATCTATGACTAGCTAGTTTATTGTGATGGTGCTTTGTTTTCTCTATTATTATGTTGCTCTTTGTTGTTTGCTGTCTCCTCTGTTTGTTTTTTTTTGTTGTTTTTTTGTTGTTTTTTTTTCCCCAATAAAGGGAACCAAGAAGTGGTGGTTTTTTTTTTTCCCCCCCCCTTCTCACCGTCTCTTCTCCCCTTTGGTTTTCTTTCTTTCTCTCCCCCTCTTTCTCTCATTCATTCCCCCTGTCCTATTTCTTAAAAAAAAAAAAAAAAAGACAAAGGATGAACTGAAGCTCTGCCATCACGTAATGTCGCATACTGCTGTTTCTGATGTCATTTAAAAGAAAAAAAAAAAAAAAAAAAACCAAGGATGTCAAACTTATTTCACCCTGAGGGCCAGAAAATAACAGAAAAGATCCTTTTTTTTGGTTATTTAGTTGTTTATCTGTTACTTAATACTTTGGTATCGTTTGAATGCCCATGAGGGAGGTCTTTGTAGGTAAGACAAACTTATGAAAATAGAGATAAAAGTCCAAAATTTATGCCCTCTTTCATATTTTCCAAAGCTGTCCAATGGTCTGGAATCTAGGCTTTGCCAGGCCAATTCTGGCTCCTGGGCTTTATGTTTGACACCCCTGACTTAAACAATTCACAAGCATAACTGCTCTAAACCAAGCTAAAAGTAGTCCAATCTTAGAATAAAATTAATGGCTCAAATGAGGTTGGAATATTCAACCAGAGAAACTATCACAAAAAGGCTGACAGTCAATGACAGAGCTATTACCTGATCTTTTCAACCTCTCATGTAACAAGCTTAACAACTCTAAATCCAAGCCTCAACTTGGCAACAGCTTCACAGAGAGGAGAGCGGTCGGTGGAAACTTGCAAACAGCCGTGACAGGTTATATGTTGCCAGGTAACTCTTTGGTTTTAATCTGCGCCATAAACTGAAAACAAAATGATGATCTGTCAAGAGGAGGTGCCCAATACATAAAATACTGTCACCTGCCACTTAGAGAGAACAATAAATATGTTCTCAATTTAAAAAGGTCAAAAATGACAGTTCTCTAGTTCAAAGTGCACTGAACATAAACGCCTATCAGACCAGAGAACTGGGAGTCTCAAGTTTCCAATTAAATTATAAGTTGCGTACAGTCAAACATGAAATACCAGCCTCCTTTATTGTTGCGTGACAACGGTTGCCACCTCTTTGTATAGCAACATGTTAAAACGGTGTTATATTCCCAAAGACAGTTGAAGGTCTACGGTCAACAGAGCTGCACTCTCCTTCAAGAGTCCAACTACAATAATTGCACCTGCAATCCCCCTAAACGGTTTCCCTCTCAACATGCCAAATGCAATGAACTGCAAATTTTCTCTTTAGTTTCCTCTGAAATTTTATAAACATCTGGTGGGAATAAGAGTAGCATTTCAGCAGGTTCACTAGAAACATGTAGAAGACACATTTAACAAGAAACTGGTGTGAAACAGTTCAGACTAATGAGACAAAATTAAACTTAAATTTTCAACAACAGAGACCACTATAGAGACGGCCGGGGCATGCATTTATGCCAATGGAACTTGCACACAAGACACACTACGATAAATCGGAGATTTAAAAAAATGTCCAGAGCAGTCAAACAAGCTCAACAAAGGCTCCGGTCCACTGGACAGTTTAAAAAAAAAAAAAACATGTGGAGGACCTCACCCATGGCTATTCAAACTACACCAAACTAACAGAGTTGTGGATTTCTGTCTTTTACACATTTAATTCTTACAATTTAAGCACAAAGACTCGTGCTGACAGCATTTTTCTTCTTTTTCCTTCAATGATGGTTTCTCCTTTATTACACATGTAGTTAAATTTCTCTACACTTACAGAGAGGGGACCTTCACTGTATGTGGCCCATGATGTAAAATGAGTTTGACATCTCAGTGCGATTCCAATTATGTGTTAACAGTCATCCTCTCCCATACAGATGTTGATGTAAACCTACTCAAATTAAATCTAAGCTTCAGCACAGTTTTATAAAATAACTGTCCAGAACCACATTGGACTAAATTTTATCTTGTACACTCATGAGGCCTAATAACATATTATAAGAAACTCAGTTGGCCATATTTCACATTTCAAAAGCAGATGTGGTTAAAAAGGCAGTGCGCTGTATATAACAATGTAAAGCGATCAGGAAGCAGGCGGAAACAGAATGAGCCAAAGGTGCTTCTGGGTGAGTCACAAAGGTTTCAATCTAAACTAAACTTCACACAAGGCTGTACGAGTACTCAGCATCTAACTCTGATCTGTAGTGAACCAAGAAAAACTGAGCATCAGCATCATCATCATCCCGCCATGTCCACGCTCTATGCTTTGCGTGTCTCTTGTATAGGTGAATCTCATCTGTAAGGAAACACTCACGCAAAAAAAAAAAAAAAAAGGGTCCGTTTTTGGCTCCTGCTAAATTAAGACTACAAAAACAGGGCAAGAGGGTCTGGGGGAGAGACTGAGGCAGTGTTTTATCAGGATGGGTCATCTAATAGGTCACGGGAGGTTGTTGTTTTTGGGGGGCCAGTAAATGGAGATGCCAGATGCCCCAAACAGGAAGCAGGAAGCTGCTATTGAATGACGTAAAGTGTAGAAGGCTCTTCCAGGTGAGGCAAAAGTTGAGGTATTTTGTTTTTGCAGAGCATGCTGACTTGATGAGGTAGATTTTAAGCTAGTGACAAATAATTATTGATTATTTAGACATGCTTACAATCAATGAGTGCACTAACATACAAAACAAAAATAGTATCTGTATCAGCTACATAATCCAAGTACAAAATAACACACAGTTTCATCATTTCACCAAAGAAGGTAGGTGTGTGATCGTGAAACTATGCTGCAAGCCCAAATGCAGCGACTCAGCAGTAAAATATGGGCTAGCAGTTACCCATTTTGGTCCAGAACACAAAAGTCCTCCTTACGCCTATCAGTGTTCTGGCCTTGACCAGCAAATCTTAACTTCCTGACGTGTAAAAGAGCAATGAAAGGAGAGGGGAGAGTTATAAATAACCTCCCCTAGTGCTCACACCAGGCCAGCTGACCCAGGACAGGCTGACGGAGCTCTGATCAGATCCTGTGGTCTGAGACGAGCACAAAGCTTAACGAGGGTCAAAGAGGTTGTCTGTCCGTCTCCCTGAGTAGATGGTATGCAGGTGTATATTGGCATCAAAATAAGAAAGCAGGGGGGATTATTTTTGCTTGCAGTTAGAATGAACTAATTATCCTCAATGCATTTCTAACTTTCTGCTGTGTTAAGAATATAATCAGGCCTCCTGGCTGACTTTTTAATTGTTTTTTTTAAATAGGATATAGTTTGACAGGTAATTGCTGCAGAGAGCAAGAAAACTGTGTTTAGCATCGTATATCTTAGCACATTTATTCCTGTTCATCTCGTTCCATTGCCGCCTCATGATAAACCCACCTTTAGTGAATTTCATGTAGTGGACCCTCTTTTTGGATGTCTTGGATTTTTCTTCCAAACTGAAGCCTTTCTGCTCATCTGGTGGAGTTTCTACAGAAGAAGAAAATTGAAGATAAAAGTTGAAATATGACCCAGATTGAGTTAGAAAATTAGAAGAATGTTATTTAGTATCATCATCCGGTAGTGCAAACATGTTTTTGTCAGCACTGAGGATAATGGTTACTGTGAATATAGCCTTGCCTTTAAGTAACTAAATGTTGCACTGTAGCACCCTCTACTGTCCAACGGGCTGATTGATCAAAAAAGATCTTTTTTGTTTTTTTGCAGTTTTGTGTTGCTTGATAACAGATAAAAGTTTTCACTTGTTTTGGAAATGTTACTATTGAATGAGTTTGTTTTGCATTTCTTTTAACACCAGCATGCACCAACACTACATGCTTTACAATATAACATTCAGTACTGTGCAGAACTCTTGAACCATTCCTAATTTCTTTACATTTTGCTTCCAAGGAGCCACACCGTCTTATAATCAAGTGCTCTTGACCAATAGTTCTAAAGGATTTCTGGAGGATTTTAAAGAAATGACAAGAAAACAGCTCAAGCGAGTTGAACAATAAAGGTGGTCATACTAAATATTGACTTTAAAAGTCAGAATTCTATAAACTCTGTTGTTGAATTTTATACTGTATTTCCATGCATGTTTGAACATTTCAATAAATGAATGCATCTATTTCCCATTTTCCTAGTAAAATATATGACTCAAGACTTTTGCATAGTACTCTACATAGTTGATCAATGGCAGAATGAACTATAAAACTAACCAAATATAATTATGAACATGTAGGAAGTCACTATATCCTGGCCATCCAGGATATCATCGTATACTTGACATGCTGCTATGTTGTGCTATGACACAAGACAAACAGCCTTCATTAGTTTTCATTAGTTTGTCTTATTAAGATATGATCGCCTTTATTAGTCCCACAGCTCAGAAATTTAGTTGTATAAAGTTGATAAAGGCTTCGTGTACATACCACTGCTGCCGTTTTGACCATGGCAGCTGTTCAGTTGAGCAAGCAGCTCATTAAAATCATCTTGGTGAGCAATCCACTTATCCTGTGGAAAAATCATACACGGCAACACAATGTGACTAAAAAACGACAGGTTAAAATGACAACTTAAATAATTAATGAGGATTTGTAAAAGTCGAAAAATCTCAAATTACACCATGCAAAACAAAATGACGTAGTTAGGGTCAACACAGATGTGACTTTTTAAAAGCCTTCATTTGATTCAAACGTGAAACTGGGCTTTAAACGTTTGCTTACCTCACAGCTGGCATTTGCTCCAAGCCCATAGCTGTCATTTTTAACTTTCACTTTGATATGGTCAGTTGAGCCTTGCTCACTCCTCCCCAGACCCTTAATTCAGATTTGAAAAGGAAAAGGAAAAGGAAAAAGAAAAAGAAAAAGAAAAAAAAGGGGGGGGGGGGGGGGGGGAGAGAGAGAGAGACATGAGACATGCTCACCAGGTCTTCCAATGTACAGTCTCTGAGGAAAAAAAACCCCAAAAAAACAATATTAACCGCTTTCATTACTTACCTTTCCCTTGGACCACCCCATTCGCTCAAGCATCTTCTGGCCAAATTTGGAGTCATCATTACTCCAGGCGCTGTTCCTGGGGTCGACAGACCACTTATGCTTCCTACGAGCTGAACATACAACAGCAGCAACAGTGTTACATAACAGGAAACCAGAACAAGTCAGTCACATCGTCTCCTACTTTAAGTGGTCTATACGCCTGACTGACACTGGGTTTATGGAGCCAACGCACATATGATTAACACCGATAAAAACAAAGACGGGATGCATTATGCGTGTGTTCATGACAGGAGCTAACCTGACAGTTATGAGAGATCACAATTGAAGTTTTACACTCCAACCATGCTTCCAGCGAGCTTTCTGCCACAACTTACGATTAAAGAGTTAACAGAGTGCATGTTTTAATAAACTTCTGCATCCCCAGATCAAAACCTAACTACAAATGAGTGAGTTACTGTCATTAGGAAGCAGTCAAAAGAAAAAACACGTGTCCACAGACAGCTGTTAAAAATGCTAATGCTAACTACCGGAATACTTTAATACACAATTCTACAAACTAATGAGCGTTTTCAGGAGGAAACTATGTGACATATTTTGTAGACCGGGGGTGCGAAAATAACCACCTAAACGTAGCATCATGCGACGTCAGAAAAAATAAATATATATTTAAAAAAAGTGAAACAAGTATACATACGCTCAGCGAGCATGGACATCCTGAGGTCCTTTAACAGCTTGACGAAGGTCCAATAGTGTTCTCAAAATATGCCTGCGCAAAATACACGACTACGGCGGTATCGGAGGTGAATATCGCCTCACGGAAGCAAATGTTGTGTGCCTCATTCATTATGAATGACACTATACTATATGAATTTTTATATTATTTTATCGTGTCATATTATCTTTACTTTATTTGTTAACGTTACAGGTGAATATTTTTCGCAGACAGAGGGCGCTACAGCCAAACAGTCAGTCATTGGTCAGGACAGTTTGCTGCACGTGGCAGCTCACGCGTGTTTAAACAGCCAATCAGAGTTATTCTGGGTTTCTGAATTTAACACTGCTATAATGCTAAATATACAAATACATGTAGAGCCCACCTATAGACAATAATTGTTAGACACAAAACTAAAATGGGTTGGTGGTGTAAGTGACATCATAGCAGAAATTAATTAATACAAACAGTTTATATTCCAGCACACATCACAAGACCACTTGGCCAATGTATGTGCAGTGATCCAATTCAGCTGATATCAGCTCCCAGATCTTTCAGTCAAGTTCCACCCAAACTATTCTGTGCCCAGGTCAAACAAAGCACTGCCTAATTTCCTTCCCATACATGCAGCAGAGAAAACAATATCACAGGTGCATTTGACAAAATGACCTTTGACTATGCAGCAACACATTTAAAGAGGTTTTTATATAAAGAGGATTTGTGAACCAGAAGAACTATAAAAATATCAAATGTTTAAGGAAATCTCAGTGCAGACCTGCTGTGGAAAGATTGTTGTCTGTTTTTCTTTTTGTTTTGTTAAAGTTGCTTAACTCATGGGAGCAAGGAAGCAAACCTGAATCATCTCTCCTCTCTCACTTAATGCCCGATATCACTTTTCACCTTTAGAAATCCTGTTGAAAGGTCTCTCACTAAAAGAAGAAGCACTTGAACTCTGAAAAAGAAGCCTGCTAGCTGCCTTGAATTCGGCGGCTTTACTCGCAGCAGAATAAACAGTAAATGCACATGGGCCAACTGAAGTTCACACAAAATACTGTAGTCATGCTTATGTAACTTAGCACAAACCTAAATAAAGACACAGCAATAGTATCAACAGATGCAGTGGTGGACTCTTTAATAGTGACTTTCACTTTGATCATTGGCATGCTAAAAAATTAAGCTTAGTAGAGCATGGTAGATCAAAATCTGACATTTCAACACTCACAGCTGCATCAGTTTTGACGAAATCTCCAACAACACTGATTGAATTGCAGCCCCAACCCATGACAGAGTCTCCACCATGTTTTTCATATGGCTGTAGACACTCAGTATTGGACCTCTTTCATGACCTCCTCCTACAGCCGTTTCTCCCTGTTTACCATCATTAAGAATGACTTCTAGACAGCCACCCTTCCACTGAAACAATTTCTGATGATGCTTCAGTGAACATTAGATGGATCAAGGTTCAGATGGCTCCTATGGGTCCTGTGTTAGGTCTTTGCTGGGGTTTTGTGCATTTTTTGACATGCTGCTGGTAACAAAATGCATAAAGATATGACTTAAAATTGCTCAATACCCATTAAAACAAGTCACAAAAATCTGGCTCCTTGGAAACAAAATGTAAAGGAATGAGGGTTGACTCAAGACTTTGTACAGTGCTGTAGATTTGTGACATTTACTCTAAATAATCTCGATATTCAGATTAGTATGAGCATATTTTAAGGTACTGGGATTTTTGATTTTGCATCTCTCAGCATTTTAAGCTTTACTGAATGAAGGGATATTATCATGTATTTCACCTGCTGATAGCAACCTTAAAAAATCCAAGCGCACATGGCTCAATATGTTTGTTAGAGATCACTGATCTGCTTTAAAGTATATGCAAATTAGCAAATTGATTCCTTTAAAACATAACAGCTCTAATATTGTTTAACAAGCAGGAAAGAGTTGTTTTCTCAGGGTTGATGTTGTCACACTCGCTTTATCTGTAACTAAGAGAACAGTCTGTACAAAAGTTTTTGGCATGGCAAGCTGCCCTCCTCAAGCCCGAGCACAACAGCTTTCTCCTGTGGTGTGCGAGTCTTGAATTTGCTGGAGGTCAACAAACCAATGATTAAATAAAAGGTGTAGAAAGTTTTAATTGTGCAAAAGAACAGGCAGAGCCTACTGAGGCTTTCAAGCACAGAAAACAAACTTCAGAGATCATTTTACACAAACACAGACACCTAATATTGTTGCAGCAGTACATTGCAGGGTCCTAGCTTTGCAGGCAAAAGTGTTAGGATGGAGTAAGTGTTTGTAGAAGCTTTCTGGGAATATTTATCAGACTTCTTAGAAGAAAACCTGAAGAGTAAAACTCTTATTCTTGATATGTTATCCTGGGTCACCTTCACATTTGTTTGTGTAGAAAGAGCAAGAGCAGGAGTTGTTACTACTAAGCCATTTACTTTTCAATTGAATTCTTGAACAGTGATTCCAAATGAAGATTTCACATGTTGATTATTGTCTGATATGCAGCTGTTTTGTTCATTCATTGTGTTTTAACCCCTTAGCAGTCCTATTAGTCCCCTAAACCATCCAATGTCCCGTGGGCGGTACGTCCGACTGCTAACAGTTTAAGTCACTAAGATGATCACTCAAACTGAACAGTTTTGGTTTCCATGTTTTCTGTGCCAAAGACTGAAGCTTGTCTGACAGCCCAGAATAAATATGTCACTAACTGCTACATAGACTCTGTAAATAGGCTGGCATAAAGGTGAAACCCAGCCTACACTGTACACCGACATGTTTGTATGCCACAGAGTCTAGTCCTGAAAGCACAGATTTACTCAGATTAGAAGGAGCGACTCTCATTTTATCTGCTGGTCCAGTGTCAGGTATCACTTGGGGTTTCTAACGGTCAAAACTCTATCAAGGGAACATATAATCTGACCTGAACTGTGGCTGGGGTTAACACCTCAAGCAGGGAATTAGGTTGCGTAACCAAAGCCATGAAAGGATCAGGAGCAAAAAGTGTGCTCATCTTAACTCACAAGACAGCAGAACCTACACTTAATCAATCATCATTCATTTTTTCATGAATCTTGAAAGAGTGCTTTGCGTGTTACAGCGATGAAGCGGGTTATATAAAATGCTAAAAGTGCTTTTCTAAGCATGTGCACACCGTGTACTTGAGGTGAAAAGGTCAGATCAGGTCTAAACATCATCAAATTAAAAACGTGGAGCTAAATTTAGAGATAGTTTAACCACGCAGTGCATCAAGGGGAACATAACCCCGCAGTAAAAATTGATTTTACGACAGCTGTAAATATAGCCCAGTTCCAGACGACTGAACCAGTGAAAAATACATTGAGAGATTTGTAACCAACAATATTTCATATTCTTAATTGCCCTATGGGATGAAGCGCTTTCTGCAAACTCCTGTAGTGTAAATAAATGTTTTTTTTTATTTTTATGAATGCTTCCTTCACCCATGCCTGTGTGTAACTGTGTAATGGTTTCACAGAGCTGAGAAGCCTCAGTGATCGCACTCATAGGGAGGCCTATACCGTACAGCAAAGGCCTCTACTGTTTTCTGCTGATGGCGGAGGGTGTTATGCGAAGGCTTGTGGTCTTGGGTCCTTGGTGCTGGTGGTGTTTAGAGAGTGCCTTGGCCTGCATCCCCATGGCAACAAGCCTCCATGTAGACTAACAGCTGGCTGTGGAACAGAGGCTGTGGTGTCTTCGGCTGACTGCGCCAGTGTAACATAATCTCCTGAACACTGTGAGAATCTCTTTACACGATGACGACCAGAGCAGCGGGGACCGAGCAACAAGAGAAGCTCTCTGACTGGCTGGTGGAAGGCAGCGCCCAGGGAGATGTCTTACATAAGAGGCTGAGTTCCACTTACAAGAAGGGGAACAGAAGTAGTAAAAACAAGAGAGCCTCTCTGTTTCCTGCACTACCCTTTAATGCCCCTCCTCCTTGTCACAGACATGTTCACTCGCATTCAGATACAGTCATCCATAGCTGAGTTTCTCTGGGAGAAGACTGCCTCTGAGAACTTAACCTGCAGCCAGACCAAACTGTTGTATGCCTCTGTAGTGCATGCCTGCACACGAGTGTAAGTTAGCTGCGAATCCTACAGGTTTTACGTAGCTTTTTTGTTTGTCTTTTTAGTCCACAATAAGCTTTGCTTTTAATTCACAACAACAGAGAGTGAAAATGGTGCAAATATTGATTTTTATTTTCAAGCCCATAAAGCACAAGACTGCAAGCACACCGGGTGTTATTCAGGAGAGTAGAAATCACATAAAACTCCCATTTTAAAAGGATTTGTACAAGGTAAGGTGGAGGTGGGACTAGTTTGAAATCCCACAGTTTTAAAAGCTTCCCCGATAGTTTGTTGAGATTTTCAAATAAAAAATAAGAAACCTCTCAGCTTGGAGGTATACCTGCAGTTTTGCCGACAGATATTAAGACTGAACAGGTGATCATTAGTGATGAGAGCTCATGAGAGTAAGATAAAAGGCAGCGCCCCTTCTTTCACTTCACTGACATAAACTCCCCGTCTGTGCTCTTTCTCGTGAAGCACAAACTGCAAACAAAGCAAAGCGAGGTCACCTGGAACAGCTACAGCAGTACTGACACAGAGAAATATGAGACAGGCTGTTGAATGTGTGGAGGACATTGCTGTCCTCAGGGTTACAGTTTATGATCCCGTTTGTAAGGAAAATCCAGCAGCTCTGGTTTATTGATGAGGAGGACACTTTTCTTTGGGAGGTTTATTTCCTCTTTCTTATTCTTCTGTGGGAGAACATCATTGACTATGCAAACTGGGTCAATGTTTTGCATTTTACAAGTTTTTGGTTGCTAATTAATTTCAATTTCTCTCAAATAATCAAGCAGAGAAGTAGTTTGGTGTGTCTCAAATTTCAGACTGCATTACTGTTTGAGATAAAAATTTGTTCTGTCAAGATGATCCAACATTGCTTCAATAATGTTGAGGTCTGGGCTTTGGGGAGGCCAATCCATGACTGATAGTGTTCCATGGTGTGTTTTTCTATATGGTATGCATTTACTGCATTGGTAGAGTTTTTCATAGAATCAGCTAAAGGAATATTAAATATACAATTTTTCAGATACTGTTCATCTGCTGGTGATGC